GGGGGAGAGGGGGGAGGAGGGGGGAGGGGGGGGGGGTCGGTTTTGTCATGTACATATTTGTTTGGGGGTCCGCGAGTGCTCACCATCGCTCATAATGGCTACCCATCGCAGCTCGTGGTGCACCTCCCACAAGATCTGGAAGAACATGTGCAAGCTCCGCTCGCCTGTCTTCGTTCCCGACTGCCTGCCCTGGCTGCTCTGGCTCGACGTATTGTTGCCGCACCGCCGCCGCCGCAACCTTCATCGGCCTCATCCTCATCATCGCCTGCTGCAGGTGCTGCAGCGAGTGGAGCCACTGGTGCTCCCTCGTCGCCGCCGCAAGATGATCCTTCGTTGTCGGCGACTTTGTCGCCTGCGTCAGATGCCGTCAGTTCCGACACGTCGCCACAGACGAGTGCCGCACCCACCTCACCGCCGCAACATGCCGCGCCAGCCTTTGCTATCCCGCACGCCGCCCCGCTTGCCGAGCTCGCCACTAACGCCGCCTACCTTCTCCATCCGGCATGCCATGCTTACGCGCTTGCGCTCGCCGAGTGGGCTCTTGGCAGGGTCTCCGCTGATGGCGATGATGCTGACTCGCCGCTCTCCGAGGCCTCCTCGGGCGTCTTTTCGCCGGCCCTCGTCGCCGACGCGCTCGTGGCCTGGCACCCGCCCTTTGCCGCCGCCCTCGCCGAGCTGGACGGCGGCAATGAGAGGGCAGCCCGCCTTCTTGGCGCGCCGCTCCGTCTCGAGCGCGACCTCGCTGTCGCCGCCTCCGACGACGGCCTTGGTAACCTCGCCGGTGGCCTCCTTGTCCATGCCGCAAACACCACCCAGGCCGCGCTCTACGCTCCGCTCAAGACCGCGGGCGTCCTGAAGTTCCTCGGCAGCGTCACTGACATCGACTCGGCCTTTCTTGACGAGTGGCGCGCCGCCCCGCCGGAGCTCCTCCGCCACGGCCTTTGGATCAAGTCCAACGGCTCGCCGCGCATCATTCTCGCCCTCCGCGATGCCCTGGTCTGGCTCGCCCCACCCGAGTCGTCGTCATCGCTCCGCAAAATGCGCCACGGCCTCAACAAGCTCAAGAGCAGTTTCAAAAAGCTCGGCACCCTCACTGCAGGCCTCACTGCTTCAGGCCCCTCCGGCCCCGGCGAGTATGCCATCCAGAACCTGCCGGGCCTTCCCTACGTCCTCAACGGCCCGCCCATCCCCTTCTCGCTCGCTCCGCTCTTCCGCTACGTCATCCCCTACACCGCCATTGACGCCATCCGCGCCTCGCCCTCGGACGACACGGCCTTTGACATTATCTGCACACCCCTTGCCGCCCACACCGCCGCCAAGAAGAAGAAGCCCAAGGCTACAAAGCACTCGTTCTCCGTCGCCTCGCCCGTCGTCCGCACCGAGTGGCTTTGGCTTTTGCAGGATCTCTGGCACGCAGCACTCGCCCCGCGCCAGCCAGCGGTCGATGGCCTCGACCCGGCCGTCCGCCCGCAATCGCTTATCCTCGCCTCCCTCTGGCTCCATCACGCACGCTCCTCCCCCGCCGTCGCCTCGGTCATCGCCACCGATCCGGTCTCAGACTCGGACGCGGACTCGGACTCGGACTCGGATCCGCTGCCTGCCACCTCGCCGCCCTCTGCCCCTCCTGCCGCCTCGCTCACCGTCGACTCGTTACATCTTCCCGACGACGACGAAGTGTCCTTCAACGCTGTCACAGCTCCCAACACCTCTTCCGACAACGACGATGACGACGAGCTCGCTCTCCTGCACTAGCCGTAGCCACATCCGCCGCCCTCACCACGTGACCTGCTGAAAAACATGACAATACCAAATGGCATCAGCTCGACCGCGCCACAACGGCAACCTCCACTCTGCACTCGTCGCCATCCCCTCCCACTGTACCCATGATGTCGCCCCTTGCCATTGCTATGGCAATACCATTGTCCACAAAACCACTGGGTGCCCAAAAAACAGAAAAAATACCCCCACACGTGGAACTGCAATACACGCCACGCACGGCCTCAACTCACAACCACGGCCACTTGTCTTGCTCGGCATCACGAGTCTCGCCACCAATGCCGACACCACTTCGTAGCAGCATGCTCTTGCTTGCTTTCCTTACACTTGCCCACTTTTCTGTCTCTGAAGCGTTTTCTATCGGTCACCATGCCGACGCTACCACCAACGCCGCCGGCTGTGTGTTCGGCGCCGAAGGATCGTCAGCGACGACGCAACTTTTGGTCCTCGGCTCTTTTTTCGTCGAGTATGCTGGCGTCTTTGCTGCCCCGCCACGAGCAGAAGCGCCCACTTGGGCTGCCGGCATTCAAAAGCTGCATGCTCACGGACTGCAAAATGCTCAAGATGTGCTTGGCTACCTTGCCACTGTGGAAAACGGAACGCTGGACGTGGTTGACAGTGAGCTGCCGGCCAATCCGATCCGAGCCCTCCTCGCCGTCGGCGCCGGCCTGCACGCCATCCAGGATCTGTATGCCCATGCGACGTGGGTCGAGCTCCACGCGCGCAACACTTCGTCAGAGTGTACTCTGTGCCTCCGCGCTGATACCCTTGGCGCCTACACGCAAGCGCAGATCGAGGCGCTCGGCAGTGCACTGCGGACCGGCAACGCCTCGCAGCACCTCCGCAATCTCCCTCCCGCCGCCCGCATCGAAGGCGAGTGGGTTCTCCGCAACCACCCTCTTGAGGCTCACGGCGACTACTGTCGCGGTCTCAACAAGGACTCGGCCAACCGCCCGCTGTTCCACGAAGCCTACGGCTTTGCGCTCGCGGCCTCCATCGAGTTCCTCGAGCGCGTCCGCGCCCACCTTGCCGCACACCACCCAGCAATACTCACCGGAGTTGCATCGGGTGGGAGTTCATTGTTACTGCAAGCGAGGCAACAGCCATTGCTGCCGAGTACGTTGCCATGCGCGACATTGCCGTCCCGGCAGCCATTCCCGTGGCGCAGGACGGTCATTGGAAGGGCTCCGGCTCGGGCGATGCCACCCACTTTGCCTCGGTCGAAGAGCCGTACTTTGCAGCAGACTGGCTCCGCTTCCCGCGCAATGCCTTTGCAGCTCTGGCCTCGAGCCAGCCCTTTGCCGCGTACCTCGTCAATCGCCTCTACAGCGAGACGAGAGCGTGGCCAGCATCGGTGGGCTGGCCTCTCACGCGCCAGCCCTTTGCCGCACTCGGCGCCACACTCACCGGCTGCGCCAACCCACGGGCCATAGTCGTCCGTACACTCGCCGCCAACAAGATTGGGGCGGGCTCGGATGCGGGATCTGCCAACAAAGAAGACCTGTTCATCCGCGTCCGTGCTCCCGTGACCTCGACTTCAACCGCGCTGCATAGCTTTGACGAGGCGCCGCATCTCGAAGCCGACTCGGTTGCAGACATCATGTGGTCCACACTCGTGCTAGTCTCCGGCTCGGGCGGCAGCGTCCCGCTCCAGATCCAGCTGTACGACGACTCGGGCCTGCTCGGCAACGCCGCTGTGCTTGACATCGGCACCTCGGGCGCCGACAAGCACGTCGCCATCACCGTCGATCCGGCCACAGGTACGCTCGCCGGCGATGCCTCCGGCCTTCACGCTTCTCAGGCCAATCCGGTGGCAGCCGTCGGCGCCAACGGCGCCGCCACGTTCTACGTCCGTGCACTCGCGCTTGGCGGTTGCTCCGGTGACGGTGCAGTGATTGTCGCCGATGCTGTCACTGCCCAGTGCCCCGATGCCGATGTCGAGACGCCGGTGGCCTTCTGGTGCCCGACTCTGCCCGCTGCGCCAACTCCGCCGTCGCCTCCGTCGCCACCGCCACCACCGTGCCATGTCTACACCCACCGGCTCCTTTCCAAGCCGTACTTTGTTGTCGGCCTCCAACTGATCTTCTCCGCCTCTGTCCCGTTCCTTCTCACCTATCTCAAGCTCACCGCGCTTGAGAGGGCTGTCGAGGCCGCCACACGCGTGCCTTCGCTTCCGTCAGATGATCCACCGGCCTATGCCGACGTCGTCATGTCGACAACTTCATCGTACGACTCGTACTCGTCCGAGTACGAGCAGCAAGAGGAGGAGGCATCAAGGCGATCACCTGCCCGCCCACGCTCACACTCACACTCACGCCCACACCCACGCTCACGCTCACGCTCGCGCTCGCGCTCGCGCGCCCGTCGTAAGGCGCAGATCGACGCAGTGCAAATTCCACTGGGCGCGCGAGTCGGCATCTCATATCTCATCGAGTTTGCGCAGGTCGTGGCGCAGGTGACCGCGCTCATTATCCTCTACGCTGCCTACAACCGCGAATCCAACACTGCGGCCTTCCAGGCCTGCTCAGGCTTCTACCAGTACGAGGTGGCGTTTGTGTTCCTCTCACAGACTTCGTTCCTCACCCACGGCGCCATCGTGTACCAAGTCTTCCAGGTTGGATCGTGCCGGCTGCTGCGGCTGCAGCCGCTACGGATGCTTGCCTCGTCGCTCTTCTTTGTCCTCCTCTTCACCATCTCGGTGCCCTGGCTCGTCACCCACTACCTCCCAGCAACAATTCTGTACATCCCGCTGGTGGCGTCGGCGGCGCTCGTGCAGATTCCGGTCAACCTCCCAGCGTACTACCTCCATCGCCGGCTGGCCCGGCTGGCCACGCCGCACCTCCGCGAGGCCCGGCGCCGCACTCTGACCGCGGTTGAGAACATGGCGGTCGAGATTGACTTTAATGTCACCGTCGCCGCCGCCCGAGCCCTCACGCTCCCCATCACTATCATCCTCCCGGGCATTCTCCTGCACTTTTACCACGGCTCGGCCTGGTTCCAGGCTGTCCGCGACGACTACAACGACCGCGACGCCGCCGAATACTTTGCGTCGATGCGTGAGGTCTTGTACGTATTGGTCCAGGCGCTCGCCTGAGCCGCATCATCATGCCGTCACGAGCAGTTTGCGCTGCTCAGCGAGCATGCGCTTGTAAGTAACAATGTCATCCTTGGCCTTACGCAACGCACTCTTGTACTGCGCCACTTTTTCGTCGCGCTTGGCCACTGCGCGCTGGACGCGCTCCTCCACAGCGGCGAGCTCGTCAGCATGAGCGGCTTCGAGCGTGGCGACGCGGTCATCAGCCGCCGCCGCCGCTGCCTTGGCCTCGTCCTGCGCCACACGGACTGCGTTGTGGGCAGCAGCGAGCTTGTCCGCCGCCGCCACCTTGGCCTTTTGCTCCCCAGCGGCTGCGGCGTCGGCGAGCTCAGACTCGAGCTCAGCGACGCGGGCGCGAGCGGTGTCGCGCTCGCGGCGGAGATCATCCGCGGTGGCGGTGGCCTTGTCGGCCGTCTCGCGCGCGGCGGCAAGCTCAGTCGCGGTCTCAGCGAGCGCGGTCTCCAACTCAGCAATCCTAGCGCGGACAAGCGCCGTCTCGCGATTGGCGGCAGCCACGTCGGCCCGAGCGTCCGCCAGCTCAGTCTCTAGCGCAGCAGTCTCGGCCTTGACCGAAGCCGCAGCGTCGGCGCGGAGCTCATCTTCGAGCGCAGCGGCCTCGTCGTCGAGCTTGGCGATGACTCGCTTGATCTGGGCGTCGCGCTGCTCGTTGAGCTGCTCGCGAAGCCGGGCCTCGGCCGCCTCGGCCTTGGCACGGACTGAACGCATGTACTGCGTCTTGAACGTCTCCATCTGAAGCGCCGCTTCTTCCTTGGCAGTGGCGAGCGCGACAGCGGCACGACGAGCCTCCTCGGCACGACGGGCCTCGGCGTCGTCGAGGGCAGCGGCAAGCCGCGCGTCAGCATCGCGCGCTGCCGCGTCGAGTCGCTTCTGCTGGGCCGCCCGGATGCGGTCGAGCTCGGCAGCGGCGGCGGCCCGCTCGGCGTCGAACTTAGCCTTCCAAGCCTCGCGCTCAGCAGCCAGCTCCTCTTCAGCGCGGGCAGAGGCCGAGGCGGCGACGCCGCGCCTGGCATCGGCGGCGTCGGCGAGCGCAGCGTCAAGCTTGGCTTGCCACTCGTCACGGAGGCGGGCGGCGGCCGAGGCGGCGTCGGCGGCGGCGGCGTCAAGAGCTGCCCGCTTGTCGGCAGCAGCAGCCGCCGCCGCTGCCGCAAGATCCGACTTGTGTTTTGCCAGCAGCCGCTGGATCTCGGGCTCGAGCGCAGCAATGGTCTCTTCCTTGATGGCGTTGCGGTTGGCTGCCATCCACTTTTCCCGACGGATCTTCTCGGCGGCAACGAGCTTCTCTCGGGCGGCGGCAATAGCCTGCTGCGACGCTTTTTGCAGCCGCTCTTCGCGGAGCCGGTGTGCGGCCTCGAGGTCCGAGTTCTGGGCGGCAAGCACTTCGCACTTGTCCGCGAGTGCCGCCTTGTCGGCAAGCAGCCCGTCAATGAGCTCCTGGTGACGGACAAGCGCGGCCTCCATCTCACCCCGGACTGCGTCGGCGGCCTTTTCACCAGCCGCTTGTGCTGCACGAACCTGCAGCGCAGCGTTGGCCCGGGTCTCGCGCAACGTCGACTGCAGCAGCGCAATCGTCTTGCTCGACTCTTCAGCCGCCGCTGCCGACGTGCCGGGTCCTGGTGGCGTGCTCGCCGAGGACCCTGGTGCTGGAGAGAGCGATGGCGAGGTCGGCCCGCGCCGTGACGCCTCCACCGGTGAGAACGAGCCCGAGAGCGCGCCAGGCGACGCCGACGCCGCATCGCCGGCCTCCACAGCGTCGAGAAATGAAATGAGCGAGGTGAGGCGATGCTTGGAGAGTGGCTGGCTCCCACCAGCCTGTGCCGGCGAGGCGGCGGAGGCCGGCGAAGCCGACGCCGCCGAGAGCGGCGAAAACGGCTCAGGCTTGGACGGAGGGGTGTACGCCTGGGTCGGCCTGCGAGAGTGGCGCCGCCCGTCCGATGGCGGCGTGGGCGGGCGGAGGACAGGTGGCCGCACAGCGCGAGGCTGCACAGTGCGAGGCTGCGGCGTATGCCGTGCGCGAGGTGGGTGCGAGTTGCGCGGGAGTCGAGCAGAGGACGATGATGGGGGGTGCTTGTCAATTTTTTGCATTTTCCTTGTCACGTCCACCGGGCCGCCGTCGACCGCCTTTGCGCGCCAACGCCGCTGCCGACTCGGCCTTGTGCTGCGCCTGCAGCTTCTTCCGCTGCGCCTTGAGCATCGACAGCGCCCGCTGCTGGCTTGTCCGGCTCCTCTCGCTACCTGTTCCGCCGTCTGGCATGTGGCTGTTGGCGTGGTAGGGGTGAGCGAGAGAGGTGGGCGGTGTGGTTGGGAGGTGGCGTGGGTGGCTGTCGTCGTGATCGATCGCCATCGTGATCAAAGCCCGTCGGCACGTCAAGCGCTGAGCCAAAGGAAGAGATGGGATGGATTCAGGCAAACTCGCACAACTGCATCGTCAAACTACTCGCACTGATCGACACACGCACTGTGCCGGAGAAAGAGGCGTGAGAGAGGGGCCGAGCGTCGGTCCCATAGTGGCATCGAGCTTGGTACATGTCAGACGCCACCAGAAAGAGAATCCGGGATCTTCGTGCATGCATGGGGGGTGCCCACATTTTACGAGAGTGTCACAGCACACACACACACACACACTCTCTCTCTCAATACATCTCTGCCGCACGGAGCTACCACAGCGAGAGTGGAAGCCCAGCAGTCCAGTCATCACCCTCGGAGACTGTCGAGGCTGAGGCCATGGCGGCGATGCGGTCGGCGACCTTGAGAAGGAAGCTGTCTGTGGTCGAGTAGATGAGGAGGCCGGCAAAGGAGGTGGACGCAGCGTCCATGACGTGGAGAACAAGAACCTTGACTGATGTGAGCCAGAGCTCATCGGCAAAGCGAGAGCAGACAATGCCCTTGAACAGCGCCGGATGGTGGCCGTGCCGGGCGAGCTTGCGGACGATGGTCCACTGCTTGGCGGCGATAAAGGAGAAGATCTCGAGAATGTCCTTGACCTCGAGCGAGGAGAGGGCAAGGACGACGCCGTCCCGGGCCTCGCTCGAACTGACGTCAAAGGCGTCCGACTCTGCGTGCGCCCGAGCGAGCGACGCCGCAGTCTGGACTCGCGTGCCGTCCGCCGCGGCAGCTTCCAGGATCTGGGCCGGCAGCGTATACGCAGCAAAGGCCTTGGGCGGTGAGCTCGGCATAGCCTTGCCCAGCGTGAGGAACTGCATGTCCTCGAGAGCCTTGACAGCTGCGGCACGAACAACATCATCGTCATCATAGACCGAGATGGAGACGACCTTGACCGGCTTGGCCAAGCCAAGATGAGCCACCGATGACGCCGATTTCCCCTTTTTCCTCCGCCTGCCCTTCTTGCGCTTCTTTCCACCCTCTCCAGCCTCGGCCATCTTGCTCACTCCGCCTCCTCCGCCAAGCTGACCCGCTCCTGCTCCAGCTCCTGCTCCTCCTCCTCCTCCTGCTCCTGCCCCTGCTCTGGCTCCACCGCCAGCACGTCGAGCTGCTCCTGCCAGACTTGGAACACTCGCTGTACCACCCCCGCTGGCTGTGCTAGTGTACCCCCCCGGGTGTGGTGCGTCCGTGGTGTGACCGGTCCGGACGACATTGCTGGTGCGTGAGGGGTGACGTGCGACGAGTGGCCGAACAACCGGCCTGCCCCACCCCCTCTGTCCCTCCCTCTCTCTCCCCCCCCCTGCCATCACCCAAGCCCAAACGCTCACCCATACCCTTCCCTCCCTCCCTCCCTCCCGCCCCTCCTCATCAGCTATGTTACATTTTCAATTACTCATCCCCAAAGCGCATCGCCAAGTGCGCGCATGTCGGCGTCATACTGCGACGGTGCAGGAAGCGGAATCGGGTACATCTCGTCCGTCCCGCCGTTGCGATCAATGAGCGTCCCTACGTGCCGCCGCACAGCCTCGATCTCCGAGCAGAGCGTGGTGGCCTCGCTCTCAAGCGCCACACACGACGCCGCCGGCCCGTCGAGCTCGCGCGCCTTGACCTGCTCGGCGTACTCGGCCTCGATCGACGCCGCAAGCTGTGCTGCTTGCTCCTCGGCAATCCGCGCCTTGAGCTCGAGCTCGGCCACCCGCGCCCGCAGACGATCGCGCTGTGCCGACATCTGCGCCATCGTCGCGTCGGCCTCGGCCTGCGCCGCTGCATCCTGCGCCGCCACCTCGCGCGCTGTATCCAGGCGTGCCTGGTCCGCCTTGATCGACTCGAGCAGCTCGCCACATGCCCGAAGCTCGGCTGCATCAACTGCCGCCGCCTTGCGCGCCTCCACCACAGCCTGGGCGTCAACAGCCTCGACCTCCTTCTTGGTCGCCCGCAGCACAATCTCCGCCGTCCGCAGCGCGGCCTCCTTGGCCTCCACACGAACCTGCAGCCCTTCCAACGCATCCTTCACATCTTCCACGTTCCAATCCTCCACATCGCCCTGTCGCCAGCCAGACACTGAGAGCGACATCCTCGGCCCCTTTGTCGACGACTCGAGTCCGCTCAGCCGCCGCATCATGCTCATGATCAATCTCTCACTCGCGCTCTCTATCTCCCCTCGGTCTCTTGCTCTCTCTCTCTCTCTCTTTCTCGAGAAGTCAAGTGTCTTTCCCTTCCCCCACCCCACACCCAACCTCCCTGCTCTGCCCTCCCTTCATCCCCCTTCCACCTCTCCTTGACACTGTGCTGTTGACTCCCAAAACCGCGCGCGCCATTCAGCCGTTCCCCCCCCCCCACCCCAAAATTAAACAAAATTTGTGCAGAATCCCCCCTTCCCCCCCCCCCTCCCGGAGGCCACTTTCTGTGAATGGCGTGGCCGGTGGCTGCCAGCTGCAGACGGCAACGCCTTTCTCTGGCCGTCGCTGGCTATGCTGTCGAGTATTGTGGCGGCGACGTCTGCTTCTGGACGAGCAGCAGGATACACAAAAGTGTTCCAACATGCACAACAGCCATCAACGTCTTTGGAGCACCTGTTCTCTGATGTGAATGGCTGGCTTGACGCCCTCTGTAGCCACCTTGACCTTGCCGAGTCGGAGGTGTACGTGTCGCTGCTGCTGCTGTGTCCTTGACGACCTTTTCCTCCTCTTCTCACCCCCTACGGTGAAGACGTTATCCCACATCCTTCCCACCCACCTTGTACTGCTCCACGCAACATCCTCTACCCCCCCATCCCACTTTCTCCACCTTTCGTACCCCCTCAGGTCATGCCGTTGCCACCGCTATCCTTGCGCCCGCTCACCAGTAGATTCTACTCTTTGCCCACCACAGACTCCCTCCGCTCCTCCGCGTCGCCGGCCTCTTCACCTCGACCACTTCCTTGATGGCCAAGGCAGAGTCCAGTGCACTTGCTCTCCTCGCAGACTGTCTTGTTGACTTGCTCCTGGCAGCTTCGTCCAAGAAGCTCATACAGCTCTCGGCTTGGGTCTGGTCTGTCGCCTGCTTCCCCACCGCTATCACCCTCCGTCTCGCTCCGCGCATCTTTGCCCACGCTGCTGCTCTCCTCGACTCGGACACGTTCCTTGTAGCAAACTCGGTCTCGGTCACAGATGCAGTCCTCGACATGATGCTCCAGCTTGTCTCGCGCCTCCTTGATCCGCCGCATGCCGCTGACGAACAATGCCATCTCTCGCCTGTCTTGCTCAACCTTCCGGCCTGGTGGCCGTGTCTATGCACCGGCCTGGTGGTCTGGGACCTCCGCGCAGACAACCTTCGCCCGCTGGTCGCCAAGGCCTCGGCCACTCTTCGTGCCGCCTGGCCGCTCTACTCTGCCTCCTCGCTCTCGTCCTCCTCCTCGTCGTCGCGCTCCAAGCTCCTCGACACCGTCCTCACCGCCATTGCCAACGACGAGGCCGTCCACCCGGGCGCCCTCCTCAGGCCCAAGGCCCGGCTCGGCGATTCAGACGTTGCCTACCTCGCGCTCGACGCTTGGATCCTCCTTGTCCGTGTCCTCGGCGACGCGCTTGTCCGTCAGCCGTCACTTCTCAACGCACTGCTCAAGCTCCCCGAGGCCACTTTCCGCGCGTCCGACCCGGCCGTCCGCGCCTCGTCGTTTGTGCCTTGGTGCCAGCTCGCGGCCGTCCTCTTCTCGCACGCCTCCGATCCCGAGTCCAAGTTCCGCATCACCAAGCCGGCCCACGCTGCGCTCTTCCTCAAGCCCATGCTCGACGTCTACACCCATCCGGTGTCTGCGCCTGTCCGCGCCGCGGCCTCGTCGGCCCTGGCCGCGCTGCTGGCCCTCTACGCCCCAGTGGCCGCCGCCGCCACCCTCAAGCTCTTCCATCCCGTCATCGCCGCCCTCATCGCCTCGTCACCGTCACCGGACGAGCTGGACCTCCTCGCACACATCTTTTGCGCCATCCTCGCCCCACTCCCACCGGCCGACGTGCCGGCCCCGGCAACCCCGCCATCGTCCTGGACCACGCTCACTGCTCCGCCGCCGGCTCTCCCGGTCACCTCGCTCGACTCGCACCAATCTTTTCCGGCCATCGACTTGCCGGAGCATGCTATCCCTGCCGTCTTTCCGCTCTTGAGCCAGCTCTTTGGCCTCGCTGTGCGCGCCGCCACCCTCGACACCCTCGCCGCTGCCTGGACACACCTCGCCCGCAGGGTTCGCCTCCACGGCGCCGCCGCCGTCCGCCCGCCGCGCTCGCACGTTCGCGCTGTCAACGCTCTGGTCTCGGCCTCTGTCGATCTGCTCGCCACGTCCAATCCGGACTGGCCGACCCCCTCCCGTGCCGCACTGCTCGTCGCCCTCGCGTCCGAGCTCGGCCCCGAAGTCCTCTCGTCGGTCTTCTTCAAGCTCACCCCGCACGATGACCTCCCCATCCTTCGCCTCGCTGACGCCGCCTGCCGCCTGCGCCACGCCCAGCCGCAACCGTTCCTCCCTCTCTACGCGAGCCTTGTCGACATTGCCTTGCAGGGCGTTCTCGCCCTCGAGTCGGCCGCCCATCTGCTGGCCACTCTCGCCGACCTCTCGGCTGATCTTGCTCTTGATCTGTGGGCCACTCTCGCCGGGCGCCTCACCGCCCACCTCAACGGCGACGTCACGTCGGCTACCACAACCTCGGCCCTCGCCCACCTCACCACTGACGCCGCCGAGCTCATCGGCTCCGTCCTCGCCGCCCCACTTCGCTTCTACCTCGTCGCTGACCCGCCTCAGCTCGCGCCCCAGCTCATCAAGCCCTGGTCCGCGCTCATGGAGACCTCGGCTCGCCTGGTGGCGCTCCGCTTCCCGGCAACGCCCAACCGCTCCATCCACGCCTTTACAACCGCCGCCATGGACGCGCTCCGCTCGTACGTCGCCGCCGCGCACGCGTCTCCTCCGGACTCACCACCGCCACCTGTCCACATCCCGCTTCCGGCCCTCGATCTCCTTCTCCCGGCCCTCGCCGCCGCCCTTCAGCACTTTGCCTTTGTCCTCCCGACAAAGTCTCGCTCGCGCGGCCTGGCCGCTCCCGGCGCTCCGCTCGCCCGCCCGTCTGCGCCGGGCCTGGCCCCGACGCTCGCCCGCACCCGCTCGTCCGACGAAGACACGCGCCCGGGCTCGGGCTTCCCGCTCTCGTCGGCGTGGCTCGAGCTCCTCGAGCTTGCTCACGTCGTCCTTCGCGATCTCATCGAGCTGGCGACTGCCGCCGCCGACGGCGCCCTCCCGCGCCTTGTCGCCCACGTCGACTCCCTCCGTGAGTTCTCGCGCGCTGCGCTTGTCGCCTCGCGCCACGTCACCCTCATCTTTGTCGACAAGTTTGCGGCCCCGATGGTCGACATGCTCGCCGCGCCAAAGTCGCTCCTCCGCGCCAAGGTCACCTCGGTCCGCGGCTCGCCCGGCACCTCGCTCGGTGCCGTCCTCGTCAACTGGATCGCCACCGTCCTTGACGCCCTCGCTCCACCGCGCGTCGCGCCCTACGACTCGGACCTCCTCGCCTTTCTCGCCCCGCTCTTCCAGGGTTGCCTCATGTCCGGATCGACCACCATCCGAAACCAGTTTGTTTCGCTCTGGAACGCCACCTTTGGCAAGGCCGCCCCGGGCGGACCTCCGCTTGTCGTTCCCGTCGGCCTCCGGCCCATCCTCCGTGCCCTCTGCAACCAGCTCGAAGCCGAGGGCGCGACGCCGTTGCAGCTCGTCGATCCGACCGCTCTGCGCTCGCCGCCCAAGGCCGCCCGTGCCAAGGCCCGCCTCGCCGTCCGGCAGGCCGCCAACGCCTCGGCCTCCTCCCCGCCGCCCCTCGGCCGCTCCGACTCGACCTTTGCCGCTCCCTCGCCGTCGCCAGTCTTTGGTGCTACCCCCTCGTCGGCCGCACCCGTTCCGGCCTTTACTCCGCCGCGGACACGCGCAACCCTCCTCTCGCCGCGCTTTGCATCGCCGAGCTCCGTCGCCCGCTTCCCTGGCTCGATGCTTCACCGGAGCCCTGTCGCCGCCACCGCCGCCGCCTCCACCCGCCCGCTCGCCCGCACCACGCCCTCGTCGCGCGTCCGCAACTCGATCGAGGCTGCGCGCAAGCTGAACTCGGCCCGCAAGGCCTCGGCCTCGCCCATCAACTCGCCATCGCCGCCCAAGCTCCACCGCAAGTCCTCGCCCGCTCTCTCCGACATCCCGGTCACCTACTCCAAGCTCGACCGCACCACCTCGGACATCCAGCGGATGGAGACAACCACCCCCGTCGACCTCACCGCCGCACACCCCGCCCTTCCTGACCCGCCCTCACCCGTCGCCTCGAGCATCGGCAAGAAGCGGACGTATGCCAAGTCGCTTGCCGCCGACCATGGAGAGCCCGCCCCACCCAACAAGCCCGGGCCGCGCAAGCGCGTCAAGCTCCTCGTTCCGCGCGACGCCCACATGCTCGCTCCGGACCTCGCCACCTCCTCAGTCCCACTCGAGGCCTCGTCCATGGACCCGCCCTGCTCAAGGCTCTCCGCCATGCCCTTCCTCGCTCCGTCCCACTCTCGGGCATCGGTGACGTCGCCTCGCTCCGCATCTCCGACTTTGACTCTTCCGACGCTCTTGGCTCGGTCCTTCTGCACAACGTCCGCGCCTTTCTCGAGCGCGAGCGCGCCGTCCGCGAGTCCGCCGGCCTCTCATCCATTCGTCGCCCCGCCGCCGCCGCCGCCGCCCCCAACCCCTCCTCCACTGAGCGCATGGTCTCAGTCTTTGTCCCGGGCGTCAAGCGCGGCAAGCGCGTCCTCATCTCGGATCTCTCCTCCTTTGACGCCCTGTACGACCGCCTCACCTCACTCTTCCCAGGCCTCTCCAAGCAGACCCTCGCCTCGGCAAACTCGTCCTACTACGTCGACTCGCGCCTCAACGAGCTCGACATCGACGCCTCACTCAAGTGGTCCCAGCTCGTTGCCGACGATGTTCGCGAGCTCCACATCGAGTAGTATCCCCATTGTAGTCGCTCGGACGCGTTGTCGCCCGTCGAAAAAGTGAACAACACACACAGCTCACCCCGCGCCGACCGATCGGCGTCTCACATGGCTGAAGCTTGAGATGAGCCGGCCAACCAAGCCACACAGCCTCCATCGCGCACCACCGTGACATCCCCAATGACAAACAAGAAGCTTTGTCAGTCCGCTATATTAGCAAAGGTCTCGCGCCACCTCCCCCTCCCCCCCCCCCCCCCCCCCCCCAATTTTAAAATAGGTTGGAGGTTGCGGTAAGAGGGTCTGGGTCTAAAGTGAGGATATCAGAATTAATTTTGTAAGGGGAAAAAGACAGAATAAGGTCCTTGTGTGGAGGGCACGGGGGGAAAAGAGAGTAAGTTGTGAATTATTAAAAAAAAGAAATTGAAGTATTAGAGGCGGACGTACGAGCAGAAGAGTAAGAGTAAATAAAAAAAAACAAAA